AACTAGATAAATTCATGATGGTTAAGTCCATTAATGGCTATTAGCCAGGACGGGTAAGGAATGGTGTCCCTAGCCTCTGTCTGTCAGAGGGTGGAGATGGATGGCAGGAGAGAGATCACTTGATCATTGCCTGTTAGGTTCACTCCCTCTGGGGCACCTGGCATTGGCCACTGTCGCTAGACAGGATACTGGGCTAGATGGACCTTTGGTCTGACCCGGTACGGCCTTTCTTATGTTCTTAGTCACTGGCACAGGGCATAGATGCTGACTCTGGAAAAAAATCATAGGTGATCACCCCGCCAAACAGCTGTTTAGCCGTGCCCCAAACAGCTAATCGGCAGCTGCTGCCAAACAGCTCAGGGAGGTGCTTGGAGGAGGGCAGAGAGCGGCGGCAGAGGGGCAGGGCCTTGGGAGGAGGGGCGGAAGCCTCGGGGCAGAGCACCCCCAGGGAAAACTAGAAGTCGGTGTCTGTGGCACAGGGTTTCAAAGTTGGGTCTCCTACTTTCTAAGTGAGTTCCCTAGTCACCAGGCCAGAGAGTCAATTTCACTCTATGGCCTATGACCATGGCAGTCTCTGAGCTACCCCTCCATATGAAAAATGAGGCTGGTTGTGACTGGTTCCTTTACAGCAAATCAGGTGTGCCCCTATGACTCTTTTGACCAAAGTTAAGCACCATGCTATGGTTAAAAGTACAATCCCTCTGTTTGAAAGACAGTATTTGACCTTTCAATCCTCACAAGAAATTCTCTGCGCCCTTAGGTTGGCTACTAAGAGCAACATTGTTCCCCAGTTTTATAAGTATGATGCTCTAAGGGAAGGCTGTTGTTCTTCATCATTCTTTCTCCTGAGGCTGTATCTTGGAGCTGCAAAATCAGGTCATGCTGTGGTGCTGCTGCCCAAATTTGCTATTCCGTCCCCTTTCTATAAATACATCCTTTTTGGCACAAGGAGCACACTAGCCTCAATTAACTCACTATCTCTGTGTCATTTAAATGACCTGAGAAGGAAAAGTAGACATCCTCAAGAATAGGATTCCTGTGCATTTCAATACAATGCTGGCTCATAAGAACAAAGCCTAAAAGCAGGGATCGCAACCAGCACATGCGTGCCCATGAACCAAGACAAAACTAGTATGTTCACAGAAAGAGGGGAGAACATGACCCATAAGGACCAGGCTGTGTCTAGCCCAACAGGGCAGTGTAAGACCCAGGCCCAATCACAGCCCTTCCTACACTACTGGGAGTGCAAATATTGGAGGCATGTGATCTCCTGGGGTTCCCCCCAGATGCTGTAGCTCTGCTCGATCCAAACATGGGCCAGTCCCTAAATGGCACCATTTGGCCCTAATTCAGCAAGGTATTTAAGCACTGGCCTAACTTTAAGCACATGAGTAGTCCCATTGGCTTCAATGTTTGTAAGAGTACAGTGAAGTGAAGGGGAGACACCCCAAGCTGGAGGCACTTACTGAGTTAGGAATTCATTACACGGTGAAGAGGGAAGAGAATGGTTTTGAACAAAAAAAAATGAATACACTCTTTGGGGCAAGACTGTCTCTTTCTTCTGTGTTCGTACAGTGCCTGGTGCACTGGGGCCCTGGGCCTTGACAGAGCCTCCTGGGCACTATGATAATAGAAAAATAGTAACAATGAATAATCTGTCTCCCTCCCCGCCTGTTTCACTGAAGTGTCTTTCTTGCGCTGCAGTCATAGCCAGAAACATACACAGAATAGGGATGTTGGTTGAAATGCTTTGAAACACTGTCACAATAGGAACAATTTTCTCTAGGGAATGAAATCAGATTGCAAAGTTATTTTCTGTCTGCTGAAACATGAAAAGAATATGAATGAGATTACATCTGGCCCTGGGTATATAAGAAAGCAGAAACAGCCTTAACCAGATTCAGTTTTCCTTCAGTGTCCTTCTAAGAAATTTAAAATCCCAAAGAAATCCTGAATCTGGCTAGATGTCTTATAAAAGAAACTACATTCTTGCCTAGCAGAAACAGCGTGCCTTTGATGATTTGGAAACGCATGATTTAATCATTCCATTATGCATACCTTTTCTCAGCTGGGGCCAGAGCCTGAAACAGACAGAGACAAGCATTAGATAAAACAACATGATGTCTAGCTAAGGAGATTGGAGTCAAAGGGTCCAACCCTGCATGGAACTGAGCATCCTCAATGCCATTGACTTCTCTGGGAGGTGCGCAGTACTTAGCAACATTGGGCCTAAAGGGAGCCCTCTCCTCTGAACTGATACCAGGCTAGATGACTAAAAATCTTTATCTTTTTAAGTAACTTCCCTCCCCCAAACAAAGATCCACAACATGCAAAAAGACCCATGGGCAAAATGACTGGTGCTAACAGGTTACTGTTCACTCACTTTGCCTTGGCTGCAGCCCATCCCCCTGAATTTATGAGATCTTCCGGGAAGGGACCTGGTCTTCAAACCCTTCTGTAAAACACCGAGTGCACTGTTTCCGCCATACAAATCATAAATAAATTAAAGAATAACTCCCCTTTCTCGACTCACAGCCTGCTAGACAGTGACAACCCACAACACGGTGCTTTGATTAACAGCAGGCAGTTCATCAGATGCGGTTAACTCACAGAGCTACAATTTTTCCTGCTTGGAATACTTGGAATATGCTCCCATCTGCAATGCCAGATCCTTTCCCTTGCTAACTTTAGTGGTAGAGCACAGCTGAGACACAACCAGGGCACAGGTAGGCTTATACCAGGAGAAAAAGTTTGCTATATCCTTTAACCTCATTGCTGCTAAGAACACTTGAGCTTCCTGGTCTCTGTGGCAATATGCTCTTTAGCACACATGACACATCCATGTTTATAATGCTATGTTATTGCATGAATGGGGAACTAGCAACTGGAACACGTGGCTACAAATCCCCGCTTCCTAATTCTTCTGCTCTATGCCATTATGTTTTGGCAGCCATTTTAACCAAACGACCTTAATTGCTAATGAAATAATCACTTTTTAAAATCCAGTTGGGAATATCCACATGAGCATGAGCTCATGAAAGATGCCAGTTTGACAACACTGGAAACCTTATAATCTCTGCAAAGGGTAAATACAACATAAGAAGCAGCAGGACAAACTTCTCATACAATACCCCTAGCTAAGGTGCCTCAACCAGCAATCTGGCGATCTATAAGGGAAAGGCTCTGTATCTCATTCCCAAGCTCCTACATTCAACCCTTAGATGGTGTCTAAAGGCAACAGAATATCAAGGAGGGCTTAGTTCCCTGACATGTCAGCCAGATGTAAAACGTGCAGAGTATGCCTAGTACTCAGGTGTTTATTGCAGATATCATTAACAGTCCTTGCACACTGGGCACGGGAAGAAACCTGTCCATTTACTGACAGAAGCAGCAATTGCTCAGAAGCTGCAGAGAACAGAAATAATCGCTCCCTTTCCAAAATAAAAAAATAAAAAAGAAAGCAAAGCTTCACAGCAGCATGGTTCTGAAAATGAATTGAATGACTTAACTAGACCTGAGATCAGAGTTCTGTGTCTTTCATGAAGGAATCAATAGCACTCAATGCAGAGCAACCAGCTGCCTTTCTGACACTCATTTAGGTTTTGGTAACATTACCAGTTTTAACTCCGCACATGCAGAATCCTGAACTCAGAGCTGGCAGTTTTCAACAAGAGTATTTTGTTTTTTAAATGAATGTATGTATCACTTTGAAGCACACACATGCCTCCAGCCCAGGATTTTGGATCTCAAATCATTTTGATATTTAAAATGAAAAGCATTTCAGTTCAACTTTAAATTACAATGTGGTAGGGCTGCAGAAAAGCCTCTCTCTGCAAGCACTGCTGAAACCAGAACAGGTCCTCTTGCTAACAGGCCACAGCCGCTGGACTTGAACACATAGGAGTCTGGGGAAAGCAGCTTTAGTTCTGGAACTCTTTCTCCTCTTGGTCTGAAAGCAGGGCTGGCTCTGGCTTTTTTGCCGCCCTAGGCAAAAAAGCCACCCGCCGCCCCCCCCCCTCCAGCAGGGCAGGGGAGGGCGCCGAGCTCGGCCTCAGGCCCGCAATCCCCAACCGGATGGAGTGCTGGGAGCAGGGCGGAGAGCCCAGCCGGGGCTCTCCGCTCTCCCTGGCGGCCAGAGCTCCGGGGGGAGGGCGGCGAGCCCGGCCGGGGCTCTCCACTCTCCCCGGCGGCCAGAGCGCTGGGAGCAGGGCGGAGAGCCCCCGGGCTCTCTGCTCTCCCTGGCGGCCACAGCGCCGCGGGGAGGGCGGCGAGCCCAGTCACGGCCCCGCTCTCGGGCCGGAGCGCCCCGCCGCGCCGCCTCCCTCCAGGTGCCGCCCCAAGCACATGCT